CAATGGTGTTAGAGTTTTTCGTAGAAAGGTTCCTCCAAAAGATAGCCAACTTTGCGGAGGGAGAGATATGCAAAGTGCTATGCGTGAGGGCGGAGGTCGAAATGCTCGAGAGAAGGTTGACGAGGATCAAAGGCTTTCTTCGCACTGCAGAGCAAAGGAGGCATGTAGATCCAGCAATGGACACCAGGGTGAGGGAGTTGAAGGAGGCATGTCAAGTACGACGCCGATGATATCATCGATCTTTGCGTCATCGAAGGTGGCAGCTTGCTGAAGAGCCGGGCATCGACGACTTTTGCGGTAAGCAATCCTTCCAGCTCGCGAAGTTCTTCTTACTTTGGATCTATCAAACACCGCTATCAAATCACCCGGTAAGCAACACTGAAAGAGCTCACGGAAGATAGATCTATAATACCTGATGTAGAGATCGCTGAAAAAGACATCCCAATTCACCCGGTAAGATCTCGTGAGACATCTTCCATAGAGGTTAAGGCAGATATCATAGGAACCCAAATCATAGGCCCTGCCCAAAATCTGATCAAATCCATAATAGAGATCAGTGAGAATCCAACGTGTGTTGTTTTTGGGATTGTCGGGATGGGTGGGATTGGGAAGACCACTCTAGCGCGTAAAGTATTCAATGATGAAAGGATCATACAAAACTATCCGATTCGAGCATGGTTGTGCGTCACGAAGAACTATTCAGAGACTGATTTGCTCAAAGAAATGATTAGAAGCGTAGGAGGAAGGGTTGAAGGAGCTGAGAGGAGGGCGGAACTTGAACCTAGACTTGTTTCTCACTTGTTGAGAAATTTGTTTATGGTGTTTGGACGAAGTATGGAGTCGAAGATTTGTTTCTTCTCAATAGAATCTCAACTAGTGGTAGAGATGTTTCTTAGTTAGAGATATTTTTTAGTTAGTTTAATATCATCAACTATAGGAGCATCATTACTAGCATTCTCAACACGATTATCTTGTTCATCTCCCATATGATTATCATGAACTATAAGTAAACGAATTGAACCCAAACTCTAAAGAATATAAATAGAGGTTTTGAGCTTCCCAACATTATCACCATTATCAAATAATTGATTTTCAAGAAACATAATATCTATGCTTCTAATAATCTTCTTGTTCACTGGATCTCATAATCTGTACCCAAACTCTTCGTGACTATATCGATTCATACTTTTACCTTATTATCAAGCTTGGACCTCTCATCTTTGGGAATATAACCAAATGCTTAACACCCAAAAACTCTCAAGTGATTATAAGATATATATTTTCCTTTCCATACTTTCTCTGGAACATCACCTTTCGGAGAAACTGATGAAGAAAGATTTATTATATCAATCATAGTTCTTATAGCCTCCCCCCAAAATGACTTAGATAACTTAGCATGGCAAAACATACACCTAATTCTTTCTTCAATAGTTTTGTTTATCCTTTCTTTCATACTGTTTTGCTGAGAAGTTTTAGAAACTGTTTTATCAAGCCTGATACTATGGAACCTATAATAATTCTCAAAAGAACCCCTGTACTCGTCACCATTATCTACTTGAACACACTTTAGTTTTCTACTATTTTCTCTTTTAATAATGACATGAAATTCTTTGAAAACATCGAGTACCTAGTCTTTAGATTTTAAAGCAAATACCCAAACTTTTCATCAATGAAAGTAACAAAATAAAGGGTACATCTAAGAATTCTAGTTTGCATAGTACAGACATCAGTTTTGTATAGTACAGACATCAGTGTGAATCATATCAATAATATTTGATCTTCTAGATGTTGAATAAGTATGAAAGGCAACTCTATATGTTTTTATAACTAAGCAATGTTTACAATATTTAAGAAATATACCTTGTAGATCGAACAAACTCAATTATTATGTAAATATATAATTCAAGTAGTCTTGTGGCATGATTAAATAATGAATCAAGGTGTTGTCTTCTTTTCGAATTAGTTGATACATTCTAAGTCTTCTTTATTGTGTCATATAGTTGACACATCAAAAACATATAAATAATACCTTAGCATCAAGTGATCAATACCATAGTCTTATATGGCCACCGCCTTAGTGTCATGTTGACCAATACCTTAATGCCATGTGGTGTCACCTTAATATCAATGCAACATAATTGTGATTAAGCCTAGGACAAACGTGCAATCGTTTTTCATAATAGGTGTCAATTATAGAAGTAATGGCTACGAGAGCCCATTATAAATGAGCTCTCTAAAATATGTTCCAAATATTTTTCCTAATATTGTTTAAAACACTGATATAATCTACTAAATCTAAACTAATTGTGGAATGTGGTGTCCGTCAAGATTAAACTATGATAGATGCAAAAGATAAACGTTGATTGACTCATAATCAACATTTGTATCGAATAATCAAATTTTGAGTTAAGCAGGATGAATAAGAATGCAAAAAATAGTAGTAACTCATACGTGATTGTTAATTTAACACATTTATATGACATTCCACAAAGGCTAATGCCAGTTTTGCCCAAAAAGTAACATGTAACTGTAAATGAATGCAGCAAGCAAAGATTAACCAACAAGCTAAACAAAGAAGAATGTCGAGGGTCGACCTAAACCCCCGTCCAACACCCAAGTTAGAGGGCATCACATTTGACACGAGCTTGATGAGCTCGGAATCGACACAAGTGGATGGGAAGAAGGTGCCTTGTCTGGGAATCCAAAGCTGGTGTCGGTGGGAGTTGGCCATCAACATCTCCGACTTTTCTTTGGTAGAGGACATCACATTTGACACGAGCTTGATGAGCTCGGAATCGACACAGGGAAGAAGGTGCCTTGTCTGGGAATCCAAAGCTGGTGTCGGTGGGAGTTGGGCATCAACATCTCCGACTTTTCTTTGGTAGCGCAGGGGGCTGGCAATTTATCAATGATGAGCGAGTCACAACAAATCAAGGATAACACAAACTGCATCATCCTAGAGACCATCAATTAGTCATTCTTGAGCTGCAGTGAGAAATGGTGATGAGTTTCCAAAAACATGTTGCGACAAACCACCGCGTGCAGCATGCAGACTATTTATTTCATCACATATGCAGGGTGAAGGGAGCTGTCATATGGAATCCAGAGGACGGAGTCATAAAGAAATAGCATTTAGATGAGAGCCTACCATGCCTGCCGTTGGAATCGAGAGGAAGAACAGGCTAAGATCTGGTGTAGGAATTCAAAATTAATTTAAACATCGGAGGGGAACCGTTCTAACGCAATCCTATGGGATTTAATATCTCTAGAGTCGAATGAGTATGATATCGATCAAGGTTAAACTATGACAAATGCAAAAAGATGAACCTCTATTGACTTGTAATTTATATTCGTTTCAAACAATCAAATCTTGAGTTAAACAGGATGAAACAGAAAGAAAAAATGGTAGAACTCATCCGTGATTGCTAATTTTTTATTGTAGCACATTTATTTGACATTCCATAGAGGCTAATGCCAGTTTTGCCCAAAGAACTTACATGTAACTATAAATGAATGCAACAAGCAAAGACTTGCCAGCAAAATAAACAAAAAAGGGTGCCGAGAGTCGACCAAAAACCCCCACTCCAACACCCTAAGTTAGAGGGCATCACATTTGACACCAGCTTGATGAGCTCGGAATTGACACAAGAGGATGGAAAGAAGGTGCTTGGTTTTGGAAAGAGCAGTCTCGTATTTGGAACTTTCTTCGGAAAATTCACATACATCAAAATCAAGGGTGAGGCTCGACTCTGAATCGGTGGGAGTTGGGCATTAACGTCTCCAACTTTTCTTTGGTAGGGGGCATCACAATTGACACCAGCTTTATGAGCTCGGAATTGACACAAGAAGATGGGAAGAAGCTGCCTTGGTTCTGGAAAGAGCAGTCTCGTATTTGAAACTTTACTGGGAAAATTTACATACATCAAAATCAAGGGTGAGGCTTGACTTTGAATCGGTGGGAGTCGAGCATTAACATCTCCGACTTATCTTTGATAGAAGAGTAAGGGCTGGGCAATTAAACAACGACGACCAAGTCACAACCAATCAACTAGTTATTCTTGAGCTGTAGAGAGAAATGGTGATGAGTTTCCAAACACATGTTTTGACAGCATGCAGACTATTTATTTCATCACATATACAGTGTGAAAGGTGCTGGCATATGGAATGGCGAGGACCAAGTCATAAGGAAAGAGCATTTAGATGATAGCTTACCATGCCTGCCATTGGAATCGAGAGGAATAACAGGATGAGATCTGGTATAGGAATTCAATGCGGCTTTTCATTGATAGAGTAGATGGTGAGAATTAAACAAAGATGACCATGTCATAGAAACTACGGAACATTTCATGACCAACTTACTTATATTTATAATATATTAGATGAACCAGTGAGTTCCTTGACCTCGCTAGCCACAATAATGTTATCATCACTAGTCTAATTACTACTCTATTCATGAGTAATAGGTTGTCAATTCTAGTCCTAATAGATTTACCTCAGCTAAAATCTTATTATACCTTGGAAATAGTACTCTCTCCTGGGGATAAGGGCAGGCAAGGTTTTTGCCCCGGCTTGTGGGACGGCACAATCAAACTTTCTGTAAGTGGTGAAAGCTTTAACAACACTATTCTCGTTACTTCCACAGAACTTGCGATTGCATGTTCATTAGATTGATATTTGGTACTTTGCATGTATTAGTTTTACATTATCTATTATTTGTAATATACATTCGTGACTAGTTTGTTTTAAAAGTTGCTCCATTCTATATTCTTTTAAATGTTTATGTATTTTTCTCAAATATACACTTGAATAAGAATATGTTTGTCTCCATTCTATATTCTTTGTTGCTCTTTCCACTCTACAATGTTTGTCACGTAAGTTTTTCTTAGCATAATATATATATATATATATATATTGTTGCTTTATTTCATCACATAATAAACAAACAGCAACAAGTCATAAGAAAATAAGGCAGACTATTTATTTCATAACAGTGTCAAAGAAGTAGGAAATTGGACCAATAGGTGCATGCATGCTGTGGAAGACTTCTCTTACGGAAATGGGGCCCTGATTCTGATCTTATCTCTATAAATGAGGAATCAGATCTTCACTTTGGAGACACTGCCTTAGATCTTCTTGAGCTGTGTTACGAGATGGCAATGGTGTTAGAGTTTTTCGTAGAAAGGTTCCTCGAAAAGATAACCAACTTCGCGGAGGGAGAGATATGCAAAGTGCTATACGTGGGGGCGGAGGTCAAAACTCTGGAGAGAAGGTTGACGAGGATCAAAGGCTTTCTTCGCACTGCAGAGCAAAGAAGGCATGTAGATCCGGACATGGACACCTGGGTGAGGGAGTTGAAGGATGTCATGTACGACGCTGACGATATCATCGATCTTTGCATCTTCGAAGGTGGCAGCTTGCTGAAGGTAACCAATCCTCCTTTCTTTAGACCTATCAAACACCGCTATGAAATCAGTGGTAGAATAAAAAGACTTAATGATAGACTGATTGAGATCACGGGAGATAGATCTATAATACCTGTTGTAGAGAACGTCGAAAAAGGCCTCCCACCTCCCCCAGCAAGTTATCCTAAGACATCTTCCATAGAGGTTAAGGCAGACATCATAGGAACCCAAATCGAAGGCGCTGCCCAAAATCTGATCAACAAAGTACTAGAGGTCAGTGAGAATCGAAAGTGTGTTGTTTTTGGGATTGTCGGGATGGGTGGGATTGGGAAGACCACTCTAGCGCGTAAAGTATTCAATGATGAAAGGATCATACAGAACTATCCGATTCGAGTGTGGTTGTGTGTAACGAAGAACTATTCAGAGACTGATTTGCTCAAAGAAATGATTAGAAGCGTCGGAGGAAGTGTTGAAGGAGCTGAGAGTAGAGCGGAGCTTGAACCTAAACTTGTTTCCCTCCTATCGAAAAATTTGCTTCTGGTATTAGACGATGTATGGAGTCCAGAGGTATGGGAAGATTTACTCAAGAACCCTTTGATGCATGAGGCAGCCAGTAATTGTAGGATCGTAGTCACCACTAGAGACGTAAACGTGGCAAGAAATTTGGGAGACAATGTTCATCATGTTGAGAAAATGGATGAAGAGTGTGGCTGGGAATTGCTGTGGAAGACGGTTTGGGATAATAGAAAGAAGGGCGATAGTTCTATCTTCAAAGAAATTGGAACTAAAATGGTTCAAAAATGTGATGGACTTCCTCTCGCAATAAAGGTTCTTGCGGGGGCTTTAAGATCCAGGAGAAGTCCGATGGAGTGGGAAAAGGTTCTCAGAAGTGATCTATGGACGATGAAGAAGCTCGATGAGAAAATACCGGGGGTTTTGTACTTGAGTTATGAAGATTTGCCTTCTCATCTTAAGCAGTGTTTTCTGTATTGCTCTTTGTTTCCCAAGAAAGCTCATATGTACCGTAAGGATCTTACCCGGCATTGGGTGGCCGAAGGTTTCACAAAGGAGAACGGAGAACTATCGATGGAAGAGATAGCCGAGGGTTATTACGAAGACTTGATCTGGCGAAACCTACTGCAGGTGGATCCTACCTTTGTAGACGGCAGCAGATGCACCATGCATGATCTTTTGAGATCTCTTGCCCAGTTCTTGATCCAAGGAGAGGGCGTCTATGCCAGTGATCTCCTATCAGTGAATACGACGAACCCATTAACTAAGCTTCGTCGATTGTCAACCTCAAACATAGGGGAGAGAGTAGAGCTCCCCAGTAGAATCATCGAAGAGAACTGTTTAAGATCTTTGCTCATCTTTGATAGCCCTCGTGCCCATACAATTGGAGATGATCTGTTTAAAAAGCTAAGGAACCTGAGAGTCCTGCTTCTGAACGACACATCCATCGAGAGTCTTCCCAAGTCCATCGGAAAACTATCACATCTTAGGCACTTGGATCTTGATCGAACAAAGATACGGGAGATCCCCGAGTCTGTGGGGGGCCTTCGGAATCTGCAAACTTTGAGCGTCTCGGGCTGCAAATCCATTAGTAAACTTCCGAAGACCATCACGAAGCTGTACAATCTACAATGTCTTCGACTGCAGGACACTCCATTAACATCGTTGCCAAAGGGAATGGGGTCACTCACAAATCTCAGCGAGCTTGACGCGTTCATCGTCGGCGATGATGGTGACTTGAAGGAGCTACAACCTTTGTCCAAGTTGAGGTCTCTGAGCATATACAGGTTGGATAGGGCAATAACAAATGCAGGTTCGGTGCTGGAGGACAAACCTTTTCTTAGACAACTATATCTTTTCTGGGAGAGTACAGATCGAGAAAAATATTCTGGTTCATCAAGCCTGACGGATCCTTTTACTGCTGAGGAAATTTGCAGTCAACTCTGTCCCCCATCAAGCCTGCAGTATCTTTTTATCAAATGCTATTCTGGTCTCCGTTTTCCGGGATGGTTCCGGTCAACTTCTCTGGACACTGCTTTCCCCTGTCTGTTATACTTGAGCCTGCATGATCTTCCATCGTGCTGGGAGCTTCCTCCACTGGGCCTGCTTCCGGAGCTAAAAGTACTATCCATTAGAGGGGCAAATGAAATCACAAGCATTGGCGCCGACTTCACAGGTGACAGAAATTTAAGGGGATCTCCTGCGTTTCCCATGCTTGAGGTGATGCGATTCTCGAACATGCCCAATTGGGAAATTTGGACGACATATGAAATCAATAGAGTGCAATTCCAGTCTCTGGCAATCAATGAAGATGAGCTGCACCTATTTGCAGGTCTGATGCCGCCACGAACTGAGATAGATCTGGTCAGAAGCCGAGACACTCAGCCCACCAATGACCGCCCACCACGTCGTCCAGATCTCCTGGAACCCCCGACAGGTGATACCGGAAGCAGCAGCGGCAACAGCAACAGCCGTAAGCTGCTTCCTAATCTAAAGGAGCTCTGGCTCGTCGACTGTCCCAAGCTGAAAGCTCTTCCGGAAGGCCTTTGCCCGACCAACTTGAAGTTACTCCATATGGAGGGCACTCATAGCTTTGGAGAAATCAAGAACCTCGACTTCCTGACTGACAACCTCACTGTGAAGCATAACAACAGCTTGCGGCGTATATCAAACCTTCCTTCATTGAAGTATCTGCAAGTGGATGACTGCCCCAACTTGGAGTACGTGGGAGATCTGGCTGGCTTGCAACACCTGCATCTGTCTTGTCCACCACCAGCGCAGTCCCTGCCGCCATGGCTGTCGGATCTCGTGGAGCAGCAGCAAAGTTTCAGAAAGCTTGAGCTGCAGTGCAGCTTGCCATTGTTGAAGAGGTGTCTCGTGGGCGAGGTCAACTGGCAGATCATCCGCCAGATACCGGAGGTCAGGATCCGGGCCACCGATGCCAACGAGTTCATTTGGTATAACAAGGATCCATACATGTACGACACCAACGTAGGTTCAGCATGAGTGGGCTCGTCGTATCTGTAAGTCGTGTTCTTCTTCTCATTCCAGTTTACTTGCGTGCTTTTTTGGTTCACACGTACCCTAACTTCTTCTTTCTTCCAGGATTACTCGGAAGTCTTTGTGATCGGTGTATCAAGGCTCAGCACGAGTGGAGTGGTCACCATCTGTGTAAGCTCTGTGTTCCTCTTAATTTCCTCTGTTGGTACGGCATGTTTCTCTTTGCTTCATTTATATATATGTATGAACTTGTTTTTTGCAGGATCGATCGAAGTCTTTTGTGCTTGGCATTCACTTCCCTTTCTATTTGTGATTGAAGCAATTTGGCAGATTGAAAGCGTTGTGTTTTTTCTTTCCCTTTTTTCCTTCGATTTGAATGTATGTTTGGACCATAATTTCTATTTGCTTTCAGTGTAAGAACAAAGAAAAACTATTGTCTACGAACACATCTCTTTGTGTTGCTTTATGCTAAGCGAAGCTTTCATCTTGATCTTGCTTCCACAAGCATGCTGTTGCTTGATGTCTAGATTTGCAAATGCTGTTGCTTACATCGTGCATTGCTTTATGACTATAATTTGATCGAAGATCTTGTATCCGAAAGCATGTAATCTACTGCATATATTGACAAATAAAAACTAGGTCATCAAAATCTTCATCGCAACTGCATGCATCGGATGGGTCCTCCACTTGTCTTCAATTGCAGGGGCAAAACCCAAAACAGAGTTGAAACAAAGGCTACAACATAGAACTGGCAATCCAACATGGCCGATGCCAAGAAACATCTCCAGTAAAACTTGTGAGCGATATCTTCATTCGTTTCTTGAAAAGTCTCTACACTTCATGAAGCTCAGTAACTTTCACAAACACAAAACAAGGATGGAAGAGAAAAAGAAAATGCAGAACAAAAGAACATAATGATTCTCAACATTGCTCTGCCAAAATACATTTGGACAATAAATAAACCAAGCCGTAAGCGATGGAATTTACAAAAGAAAATATTCCAGTCATATCACTCGCTGTTCCAGGAACATAATTTAATTTCTTCACTCCAGAAATAGTATCAAGCACAGTGTGAAAATTGGTACAACTCATGGGTGATCGCCGATGTCTGATCATAACACATTTATTTGACAGTCCAAAGAGGCTTTATGCTAGTCTTGCTCGAAGAACCTCCACGTAACTGTAAATGAGTGCAGCTAATAGTTTAATTTCACTTTGAACTCACCTAAGCTATGCGTGCTTTAACAAAGCTACTTGGTCGCAGAATCATATATGGCACAGAAGCTGAAAGGGAGTACCTAAACATAGCAGACAATAAATGTCAAATTAGATATGAACTAGCAGGTGTGATCAACATGAGCATATAAATGATTATAAATATGAAGACAGATAGAAAATTCTGTTCAGATCATAGACATAACTCCACTAACTGGGAAATTCATATTGGCTAAAATGATTGCATAATTGCCGTCCATTTAATATAGAATCATAGGAAACACTAAGTGAGGACCTATGTTTCTGAAAGAAATCAAGCATGTTTATCATGACTTAAATTGACACGAGTCACCTTGATGAAGTGGAAGATCGCACAACAAACATGAAGAACAAGGATTAATAGCAGAATATCCACCATGTTATGCATTAAGTGCGAAAGACTCCAATCATCATTCCTTAGTGGAGATTTTCCAAGAACCAAAATCCATTTGGAAGATCTCTTTTTCAGAAATAAATATAGCAGTTTCTATTTTCTAGTAAAGCAACAAAAGTGCATGTTGTTATAAAAACCAAGAAATTCTGACAACAAATGAAGTTCATGCATACAGTCAATTCACACATCTTCCTGTCAGAAGTATCACAAACACAATGATTTGTAATGGAAGAGACAGACAGGGCACAGATTAGAGTCTCAGGTGCTACACATGAGTCCTGTGAAGTCTATATTTTGTAATTTTTTGATACTTTGTAAGATCAACTGGGAAGAAAATTGTAACTTATTTTAGAAACAACCCGATAAAAGGGGAAGTTGTTTTTTCTTCTCAATCTTAAGAGCAATAAAAGGTATGTGATATTGTCCTCATATGAATCTCAAGTGATTTATGTAGAGATTCAATAATCACATGCTTGATGACCCATGCTTCATTCAATCCTTCTACTGCTACTCCATGACCCCACTTGGTCATATAGACCATCTAACATAGTAAAAGTTCATAAATTTGGTTCAACAGTAAGATACATATATCACTACCTTCCAAACTATTCACCAAATATCATCATACTGCAGTAAGTCTTGGTTTCATGTTCATGCAACACTTTCAAGCGGAATACTTCTTTACTTGCAACTTGCTATTGCCCCCTGCAACCGTTAGCTATGCAGTAAAAACTCAACTTCGTCATGTAATTAATTAACCTTTCCTCCTTGAAGAGCCTTTGCCATGTCCAGGAACAGATTATTTAGATGGACAAGAGGTTAAACCATAAGTAACTCATAATAATACATCAATCTTGACAGTAAGCCTCCCAGAGGACACAAGAAATACTAGAAAGTGCGATACTAAATAGAGAAAATATCGACTACAGACTTTGCTGAAGGGAGTCGATTGAATTTACAGAGACAACATGGAAAACAATGTAAAGACTAGCCTATCCATCCATTTATCAAAAACATATGCAGTCAAATTAGAAAAAGGAGAACTGGATAACCCATCATCATTGCTTGGAGTCTCAACCAGAACAAAATGAATTGACTGTATCTGACCATTATCACAGAAATTATAACCTTCATGTTCCAAGCTATGCGAAGTGTAACTTCTTGTTTACTGTAACAAGCATCCAAGCCTTTAATCTGCAGAACCTAAAAGCATTGTCTATTCCACTCATATAGAAAACGAGAGAAGAGAGACAACAAATTTATCAAGTGCATGAAATTGAATAGTGAACTGTTTCCAAAAGAAGGAAAATTTCATGCATGACTGAAATTATGAGCTTGAACAAACTCAATTACCATGTAAATGTATAATTCAACTAGTCTTGGGGCATGACTGAATAACGGATCAAGGTGTTGTCTTGTTTTGGGATTGGTTGACACATTCTAAGTTTTCTTTACTGTGTCATATGACACATCAAATATATATGAATAATATCTTAGTATCAAGTGGTCGGTACCATAGTATTATATGACCAACACCTTAGTGTGACATGACTGATACCTCAGTGCTATGTTGACTAATATCTTAGTGTCACATGATCACCTTAATATCAATGTAAGATAATTATGATTAAGCATGGAACAAACGTGCAATCGTTCTTCGTAATTGATGTCAATTATAAAAGTAATGGCTATGAAGGCCCTTACAAAAGAGCTCTCCTAAGTACGTTCCCGAATATTTTTTTCTAATATTGTTCTAAATATTGATCGAATCTTCTGAGCCTAAAACTAATTTAAATATCAGGGAAACATTTATTAGGAACGGTAGATCTGTAGGCTTCAACATCTCTGAACTCAAGCATTTGTTGAGAATATCTCAAATGCAATTTTATAAAATTTAAGATCTCTAAAGTCACACAAGTATGGTGTTCGTCAAGATTAAACTATGACATATGTAAAAGATGAATGTCGATTGACTCGTAATCAGCATTTGTATCGGATAACCAAAATTTTGAGTTAGCCAAGATGAAACAGAATACAAAAAATGATAGTGACTCATACGTGATTACTATTTTTTTAATTACAACACATTTATATGACATTCCATGGAGGCTAATGCCAGTTTTGCCCAAAAAGTAACATGTAACTGTAAATGAATGCAGCAAGCAAAGATTAGCCAACAAGATAAACAAAGAAGAATGCCGAGGGTCGACCTAAACCCCCCTCCAACACCCAAGTTAGAGGGCATCACATTTGACACCAGCTTGATGACCTCGGAATCGACACAAGTGGATGGGAAGAAGGTGCCTTGTCTGGGAATTCAAAGCTGGTATCGGTGGGAGTTGGGCATCAACATCTCCGAATTTTCTTTGGTAGCGTAGGGGGCTGGCAATTCATCAATGATGAGCGAATCACAACAAATCAAGGATAACACGAACTGCATCATCCTAGAGACCATCAATTAGTCATTCTTGAACTGCAGTGAGAAAATGGTGATGAGTTTCCAAAAACATGTTGCGACAAACCACCGCATGCAGCATGCAGACTATTTATTTCATCACATGCAGGGTGAAGGGAGTTGTCATATGGAATCCAGAGGACGGAGTCATAAAGAAATAGCATCTAGACGATAGCTTTCCATGCCTGCCGTTGGAATCGGGAGGAAGAACAGGCTAAGATCTGGTTCAGGAATTCAATGCCGGTACTGGTGGGAAGGAAGCATTAATATTTATATTAGATGAACAAACGTCAGGGAAGATGGTGAAAGCTTTATTAACCATACTATCATCCTCATTACCTCCACACGACTTGCAATTGCTCGTTCATTCGATTGATATTTGCTACTTCCCATGTATTAGATTTACGTTATCTATTCTTTTAAATGGTTATGTATTTTTCTCAAATCTATACTTGAATAAGGATACTGTTTTGTATTGTCGAATATAATCAACAATTATATCTATTTATTTTTTGACTTCGAGTTTTACAATTATCATTGTTTCACCATCTTTCAGGAATTGTGAGCTTTGAATTTGACTTTCTATGTATACAATATTGCCACACAAATCACATGCAGATTATTTATTTTATCCCGTAATAAACAAAGAGCACGAGGTTATAAAAAGATAAGGCAGATTATTTATTTCATGACATGTACAGTGTAGAAGCAGCTGTGGAAGACGACTCCTCTCTTATGGAAATGGGGCCTGATTCCGGAACCCATTTATGCTCAACGTAGATCTTATCTCTATAAATCAGAAATCAGATCTTCACTTTGGAGACACTCACTTAGATCTTCTTGAGCTGTGTTACGAGATGGCAATGGTGTTAGAGTTTTTCGTAGAAAGGTTCCTCCTAAAGATAACCAACTTCGCGGCGGGAGAGATATGCAAAGTGCTATGCGTGAGGGAGGAGGTCGAAACTCTGGAGAGAAGGTTGGCGAGGATCAAAGGCTTTCTTCTCACTGCAGAGCAAAGGAGGCATGTAGATCCGGCAACGGACACCAGGGTGAGGGAGTTGAAGGATGTCATGTACGACGCGGATGATATCATCGATCTTTGCATCATCGAAGGTGGCAGCTTGCTGAAGAGTCGGGCATCGACGACTTTTGCGGTATGCAATCCTTCCAGCTCGCAAAGTTCGTCTTACTTTGGATCTATCAAACACCGCTATGAAATCAGTGGTAGAATAAAAAGACTTAATGATAGACTGAAAGAGATAACGGAAGATAGATCTACAATACCTGATGTAGAGAACGTCAAAATAGACCCCCCACATCGACCGGAAAGATCTCCTGGGACACCTTCCATAGAGGTTAAGGCAGACATCATTGGAACCCAAATCGAAGGCGCTGCCCAAAATCTGATCAACTCCATAGTGGAGATCAGTGAGAAGCCAAAGTGTGTTGTTTTTGGGATTGTCGGGATGGGTGGGATTGGGAAGACCACTCTAGCGCGTAAAGTATTTAATGATGAAAGGATCATACAAAACTATCCGATTCGAGTGTGGTTGTGTGTAACGAAGAAATATTCAGAGACTGATTTGCTCAAAGAAATGATTAGAAGCGTAGGAGGAAATGTTGAAGGAGCTAAGAGTAGAGCGGAACTTGAACGTAAACTTGTTTCCCTCCTATCGAAAAATTTGCTTCTGGTATTAGACGATGTATGGAGTCCAGAGGTATGGGAAGATTTTCTCAAGAACCCTTTGATGCATGAGGCAGCCAGTAATTGTAGGATCGTAATTACAACTAGAGACGAAAACGTGGCAAGAAATTTGGGAGACAATGTTCATCATGTTGAGAAAATGGATGAAGAGTGTGGCTGGGAATTGCTGTGGAAGACGGTTTGGGATAATAGAGAGAAGGGCGATATTTCTAGATTCAAGGAGATTGGAACTAAAATGGTTCAAAAATGTGATGGACTTCCTCTCGCAATAAAGGTTCTTGCGGGGGCTTTAAGATCCAGGAGAAGTACGATGGAGTGGGAAAAGGTTCTCAGAAGTGATCTATGGAAGATGAAGAAGCTCGACGAGAATGTACTGGGGGTTTTGTTCTTGAGTTATGAAGATTTACCTTCTCATCTTAAGCAGTGCTTTCTGCATTGCTCTTTGTTTCCCGACAAGGCTGATATGTACCGTAAGGATCTTATCCGGCTTTGGGTGGCTGAAGGTTTCACAGAGGAGAACGGAGAACTATCGATGGAAGAGATTGCCGAGGGTTATTACGAGGACATGATCTGGCGAAACCTACTGCAGGTGGATCCTACCTTTGTAGACGGCAGCAGATGCACCATGCATGATCTTTTGAGATCGCTTGCTCAGTCCTTGATCCAAGGCGAGGGTGTCTATGTCAGTGATCTCCAATCATTGAATTCGGACCCATTAACTAAGCTTCGTCGATTGTCAACATCAAACATAGGGGAGAGGATACAGCTCCCCGACAGAATCGTTGAAGAGAAGTGTTTAAGATCTTTGCTCATCTTTGATAGCCCTCGTGCCCGTACAATTGGAGATGATCTGTTTAAAAAGCTAAGGAACCTGAGAGTCCTGCTTCTGAACGACACATCCATCGAGAGTCTTCCCAAGTCCATCGGAGAACTATCACATCTG